CTTGTTTGGTTGCTTCATTAAATTTCTGAATTAAATTTTCCCATCCAACTTTATCCAAATGAGTTCCAGGACGGCGTCCAGCTTCCACCTCTATAATACACAAATCACAAAACACATCCACAGTCTCGGGGTCCCATATTGCTTTACCTTGTGGTATACTACCCTCCATTTGAGAATTGATAACTGAAAGTCTAAAACAATGTGAGGCTTCATGCTTTTATTTACAAAAACAATAATAAGGGTAATACTAACCTTATTTCCAATTCAAACACTCACTCAATAGCCAAGCTAATCATAGCTTCTACTCCTAGATACTTCACCTAAAAATTGCTAATCAAGAATAGAATGCTAATTCGTTTTACAACAATTGTGCCTAATGATCACTTTCTCTTAATTATTATGAGATAATTTGATGAAAATCTTCGGATGCTTCCTAATAATAGAGTTTTTTTTTTCATATATACCCTGTCATAAATCGACAGAATTGACAGCAAACAACAACTGGCAACAATGTACAAGTATATGAGCAATGTGAACAAACGACAGAAAGCATATGCATCAGCAATATGAGCAACAAACGACAGCAAACAACAATAACGTAAACCGGCAACAATGTACAAGTATATGAGCAATGTGAACAAACGACAGAAAGCATATGCATCAGCAATATGAGCAACAAACGACAGCAAACAACAACAACGTAAACCGGCAACAATGTACACAGAGGAACTCAAAACCGGCAACATTACTCAATTCAACAATCAGAGGAACTTTCAATCAATTCCTGAGCACACAGAGGAACTCAAAACCGGCAACAATGTACAAAATTTCAATTCCCGTTGATGATGATTCAACAATGTCCAAATTTATAGAAAATCAAAACCGTAAACCCATTTCCGCACAAATCAGACCCAATCTAAAAATCGGAGGAGAAATCACACTAAAACCCAATCTAAAATCAGACCCGATCGTTTTCTTTGATTGCAAAAAATCAAAACCCTAAAACCCAAAATACAGGCGGAATAAAAATCAAAACGAAATCCAAATGTTCAAACCAAAAAATTTCGCACGGTTAGAGAGGCTTACCTCTTGAGTTGATGATGATAGACGGGCAGTCGTCGTCGGAGGAGATGGGCGATCTGCAAACGGACAATCACGCGGAGGAGAAACCAACCGAGCTCCGACTGGCGAACGGAGAGAGACCGGCGAACGGAGAGAGAGACCAAACCTCAAACGGAGAAGAGGGGAAAGGATAGAACGCACAAGAATTTTTTGTTGCAGGGGACGAGAGTGATTCTGGAGGAGGTGAGCGGAGGAGAGTCGGGGGAGATAATGAAAATGAAGTTTGATGTGGTAAATTTTAACTTTCATTGAGGGTAAAATTGGAAATAGAAAATTTCATTAAAACCACAAAATAACTTCCCGCATAATCTAACATCAGAATCAGCCTTAAGGCTGATTCTGATTTTAACTTCAGATTGGAAGAAAATTATTCAACAATCTGTTTTACCAAACAATTTTTTAGATTTTAGATGTGTGAAAAAGTGCTTTTTCTCTCCTAAAATCAATACCAAACCCACCCTTAGTCTTTGGCAGTGTTGCTTGTCCAAAGTTTGATATTCCATCACGCGTAACTAGTGCAAGAGATGTTATGAATCTCTACGAGGGTGAGAAAGAGAAGCTAAAATCATTTTTTAAGAAGAATTCACAAAGAATTTCTCTGACCACCGATACTTGGACTTCTCTTCAGCAAGTAAGTTACATGGTTTTAACTGCTAATTTTATAGATTCTAAATGGACAATGCAAAAGAGAATTTTGAATTTCATCCAAATCCCCAATCATAAGGGTGAAACAATTGGGAAAGCAATTGAGGCATGCTTACAACAATGGGGACTTGAGAAGATCTTTACAATCATAGTGGATAATGCTGCGTCTAATGATGGAGCTATTGCGCTCATGAAGAACAATGTTAGACCTTGTTCATTTGATCAATTTAAATTTAAAATTTGAGTTTTACTATAATAAAAAGTTCTAAAAAACAGTCACATTTAACTTTTTTGCTCAGTAAAAAGCACTCACATAAAGTCACGTTTCAATTCGAATTAAAAACTTGAATTAGCAAACTAAACGAACCCTTAGTTTACCACTCCATCCTAAAAGCTTAAGCTGTTAGGATGTGAACTAACAATAGTTTTAATACTTTAATACTCTCCCTCACGTGTGGACTGGACAATGGGCAATCGTGTGGGTAAATTAATTAAAAAGCTCAACACGTGAATATTTAAGCTCAAGATATATTACAGACCTAACACATGATGACAATTTAAATGAGGATAAATAGTGTAATTACGAGAGTTTAAACTCAGGACCTCCTGCTATGATACCATGTTAGTTTATTAATCTAATAATAGTTTTTATACTTTAATAAAGAGACTTTCTATTTGGAATAGTGGTGTTTGTGATAGGGAATACTTACATGTGAGATGTGCAGCTCAAATATTGAACCTAGTTGCGCAAGATGGTTTGAAAAGTCTACACATCTCCGTCGCAAGCGCACGCAATGCAGTAAGGTATGTTAGATCTTCACCTGCAAGGTTGGGAAGATTTAAACAATGTGTTAAAAATGTGATGCAAGGTTGGGAAGATTTAAACAATGTGTTAAAAATGTGATTAAAGGAGATAAGGCCTTTGTGTGTTTAGATGTGCCAACTAGGTGGAATTCTAACAATTTGATGTTAGAGCATGCTTTGAGATTTGTGGATGCTTTTAAACTTTTGATGGAGGAGGATGGACACTATGAGTTATGGTTTATGGAGAGAGAATCTAATGGGAAAAAAGGAAGATTGATAAAATGAAGTGAAAGCAGCGACTCAATTTTGCAGGACATGGCGATAAAAAATGAACTTGAAATATGATAAGTATTGGGGTAATGTTCACAAGTAGAATAATCTTTTCTATGTAGCAGTTGTGCTTGATCCAAGGTTTAAGTTGAGTTATGTGGAGTTTTGCCTTCGAAAGATTTATGAGGAAACAGTTTCCATTTTGCTCACTACTGTTAAAAGTATGTTAGCAAAGTTGCATGGCTTCTATGCAAATGGTAGTTCCAAACAACAGGTTGTTGGGGAGTTGAGAACTGCTGATTCAAGTATGGAAGTTGATGATGATGGAGACTTCTTTCAACAAGAATATGAGTTGCAGTGCTCAACAATCAATGCGTATGATAAGTCAAGTGACCTTGAGAGATATTTGGCGTAAACCGATGAAGATCGAAAGAAGAAAGACTTGGTTGTTTTTTTAGAGTGTAACTTGAGTGTAGTTTTTGAGTTATAACTTGAGTTGAAGTTGTAACTTGAATAAAGTTGAAACTTAAAAAAACGTGAACTTAAATAAAATTGAAACTCGAGTTGTCTTTTTTTGAATTTTTTGGACAAAAGAACATGCCCTTTGATATTTTGAGTTAGTGGAAGATGAATGCTTCTAAGTAGCCTATTCTAGCAGACATGGCACGCGACATCTTAGCGGTTCAAGTGTCAACTGTAGCTTCTGAGTCACCATTTAGCACTAGCAGTCGAGTTCTTGATGCCTTTCGGAGTTCGCTGAGTCCATCAATAGTGGAGGCATTGATTTGCTGTTAAAATTGGTTAAGATCTACTAGCCTCACACTAGATCTTAAACCCCAATTAGAAGAATTAGAAGCTTATTCAGATATTGAGTCAAGTAACTTTTTTTTACTCTTGAACTTTATTATTGTTGCAAAATCAAATGTGTAAGGATTTTTTTTTGCTTAAAAACTTGTAAGCATCGATTGAGGATGTTGGTAAGTGACAAACTATCACACTAGTAAGCATTATAAATATATTCTGATTTAACTTGCCAAATTTCATATTACTTGTAGGTTTGGAGGAGAGTTCTATCAACACAAGTGGCAAGCTTTAATCTAAGTTTAAACTTTGATTCTGTTGGGTTTTTTTTTTTTTTTTTTTTTTTTTTTTTTTTTTTTTTTTTTGTAATTTGTCTTAAAACTTTGTTGGTCTGTGTTCTTGGAACTTTTTAATTTGGTTGTATGGTTTGTATTAAGGTTTTGAATGGTGAATTTTAAGGACCTTTGCTATTTTTGAATTATATCATAAACTATGAATGTTATGGATCAGTATTTCTATAATTGTCTTAACTTTAAACCGCTTAAACTAAATTGTCTGAACCATTTATTAGCGATTTGGTTTGATTTGATTTTTGTAAAATATATCAAACCGCCTAAAAGAAAATTTTTTTTTATTTGGTCAATAATTTTAACAAAAAAAAAAAATCATCCAAACCGACCACGAACACCATTGTAGGGCGTACAAAAATTCTTTTAAAACCAGTCAAATGAAATGTCAGCCGAAATTGAGCAGTCGAATGATCCGGCGGCCCAAAAAGTTCAAACAAATTATAGAATATATAACGGGCCCGTTCGGTTCGCTGATTCGAGTTTTTAATTCGAGTTGAGATGTGATATTGTGTGAGAACTTTTTATTGTAATAAAAAAATTAGATGTGACTGTTTCTAAGAGCTTTTTACTGTAACAAAACTCGAATTTTAAACTCAATTCTAAACTCAAATTAGCAAAAACAACGAGACCAACATATTCTCCAGTATTCGCGTTTGTAGACTCTGAGTAGAAGTGAGCAAATCCCCGTTCTTCATCTCTCTCTCTCTGTATTTTTTTTTTTTTTGGAAATGGCGAATCTCGACGGAGGCGTTTCCGCCAAGGGACACATCACCCACGTCATCTTCGACATGGACGGTCTTTTACTTGGTAATTTTCTCGAACATCTCATCTGCATCATCGATGCTTTTGCAATTTGCGATCTTTTTTACTTGTTCGCAAAGTTAGATCCGATCAAAATCACATCAAAATGATAAAATAGATGTTATGACTCAGAAATTAACACAAGTTCAATGAGCTATTTGTTGTCTCAAACAAGACAAATGTGCTCAAAATTTGTGCTTATTTTTGAATGTCCTCTTTATTGTTGAAATATTTGTCCTTGAATGTGTTATACACTTTGCTGAAATATGTTTCCATTAGAGACTATACTGAGTTTTTAGATTTATGTTTATTTAATGCTTGATAATGGGTAGCTCTAAAACAGTTGTTTTTGTTGTTTGAAAGTTTCGAAATTGTGCGGCGGAGAAGTGATGACAATAGTTTAGGTCGAATTCTAGGATAGAAAACTGAAGTTGTGATGAGAGTTTTTCGGTGGTGCAGACACAGAGAAGTTCTATACTGAAGTCCAGGAAATTATACTTGCTAGGTTTAACAAGACTTTTGATTGGTCTCTAAAGGCCAAAATGATGGGAAAGAAAGCAATAGAAGCTGCTAGGATCTTTGTTGAAGAGACGGGGATTAGCAACTCCCTTACGGCGGAACAATTTCTAGTGGAAAGAGAGGCAATGCTGCAGAGCTTGTTCCCGACAAGCGAGCTCATGCCAGGTTTGCTTGATCATATAAAGCTGAAGTGTTTAGTTGTGGTTACAAATACTTAGATGTAAACTCTTACTCTTCTTTCTTTTGTTTTAAATCATTCTTAAAAACCGTTGGTTTAGAAGAAATTGGCCATGGGAGAACTTGTCTTTACATTTTTGAAAATTTTTTTAATACAAAATTGTAAGATTATATCAAGGATCTTTACCAATGTCTATGGTATTATTGGTCACTTAAGAGCACAGAATTCTTTTGACTTGGGAAAATGGATAATCCTGCCTACTTTTGTTATTTGTGAGTGTAAATTTAAACAAGATAGATTTATTGTGATTTGTGAAGTAATAAATTATTCTAATAATTTTGTCTAGTTCAACTTTTCAATAACATAAATTTTTGAATAATTTTGTCTAGATCTCTGTGACTTATCCTACGAAGCAGGTTTCATATAAATCTGAACTATAAAAAGAAAAGAAATTCAGTATATGGCTTACTTGATTTCGAATAAGGAACAAAAATATGAGAATCTTCTCTTGTAAACTAATTACAAGTAGGAAAAGGGGGATAGGATGTTTCTGTGTACTGGTAATTTTGGGGTTACAGATTATGTTTTTAATCATAGGTTTGTCCCTGACACTTACATTGATGGGTTTTCTCTTTTTCCTCTTTATTTTTGGAGGTTCATATTCTTCATTTTTTCGACTTTATGGAAAACTGTCTTACATGATTTTCTTGAATCTAGGGGCTAGCCGCTTGATCAAACATCTTCATGCGAAAGGAGTACCAATTTGCTTGGCCACAGGGTACGTAGTTTCTTCCCCCCAAATTTAGTTTCGTTTTAATTAGCTCTGTTATTTGAATATGAGATCTCCCCCTCAAAAAAAGAAAAAAAGAAAGAATATGATATCACTTATCAGATTTCTCTTTTTTTAGATATTGTCTACTTTGTTTTGTTTGGGCCATGTGGGGCTTTTCTACGTCAATCAGGCACTATACTTATGAGTTCCATTATAGGAAAGATAAAATAAGTTAAACAAACGAGGAGCTGAAGAGGGCATGAGAAGAGAGGGAAAAACAAAGTTTATGTGTGCATTACCGTCCAACTGATTATCTCATGTCAAACAAAATATTACTAACTTTCAAGCGAAAGGAAAAAGAGAGAGAGAGAGAGAGAGAGAGAGAGAGAGAGAATCTGGTTCTTCTATTTTATGGTGGAGAATTGCATATCTCTTATATGTTGTTGTTCCATACAGTTCACACAAACGGCATTTTGAACTGAAAACGCAACGACATGGTGAACTTTTTTCGTTGATGCATCACGTTGTTCTTGGTGATGATCCAGAAGTCAAACAAGGCAAGCCGTCGCCAGATGTATTCCTAGCGGCAGCCAAGAGATTTGAGGTTTGGCCATTACTTTGTCGAGTTAGTTGATGGCAGAATTATCTGCTTTTCTTTACATGATTTTATTTTGTTTATTACTGTGGAAATCCGGATTCTTTGTGATCTCTAAGATCCGGATCTTCTTTGATTTACAGAGTAGTGCTAGCTGTAAATTAATTGTAATTAGTTTCCTAGAATAGAGGATTTGGTATTCATTCACCGTTTCCTATTTTAGGTAGTTTCTAGTTTTATGTTTTTCCTTGTGATCCTATTTATTAGCTGTAATATTGAACCAGAAATTAATGAGAATTTCATTCACAATTTCTCACATGGTATCAGAGCACTCTCTGAACCTCTAAAAATTTCCGATGACCAAGTACGGGATGGCTGGTGAAAAGCTAACCGAGCCCTCCACTGAAGGTTCATCGAACCCAGAGGCAGCCATTAGAGGCAGCCATGATGGATCTGAGAGTATCCAAATTCCCATTACAGGACACAAATTAAATGGGAATAACTATCTTCAATGGTCACAATCTGTCAAGATGTTCATCTGCGGGCGAGGAAAGGACGAGTACCTCACAGGAGAAATCGTTCCTCCAAAGGATGGTCATCCGAAGTACAGAACATGGAAGGTGGAGAACAACTTGGTAATGTCCTGGCTAATTAATTCTATGACTAATGAAATTGGCGAGAATTTTCTTCTCTACAGCACGGCACAGGAAATCTGGGAGGCAGCAAAGGAATTCTATTCCAGCAAGGAAAACACCTCAGAGATATTTGAGACTGAGAGCAGTCTTCATGATCTTCGGCAAGGGGATCGTAATGTCACTCAATATTATGGCATTTTAACTCGCCATTGGCAACGACTGGATGTATTTGAGGAACATCATTGGGAATGTCCTAATGATGCAAAGAAATTCAGAGAGATAGTTGAAAAGAAAAGGATATTCAAGTTTCTTATGGGACTTAATAAGAATCTTGATGAGGTTCGGGGGAGAATTCTGGGAATGAAACCCTTGCCCAACATCCGTGAAGCCTTCTCCGAGGTGCGAAGAGAAGAGAGCAAGAAGAAGGTGATGATGGGGGATGTTCTGGGTAATCCAACCGCAGATCAAAGTTCAACCCTTACTGCTAGAGGTTTTCAACCTAACAGCAGTGACAATCGGGGAAAGAAGGGAAGAGCATGGTGTGAACACTGTAGAAAACCTGGCCATACCCGAGATACCTGCTGGAAGATCCATGGCAAGCCTGTAGATTGGAAACCCTCAAGACCTGCTCCTGACAAAGAAAGCCGTGGCAATCATGCTGCAACAGAAGAAGGAACACCTTCCATCGAATCAAGTCCTTTCAGCAAAGAACAACTTGAGACCCTACAAAAAATGTTCTCACAGCAGGATACCAGTCACAACATCATCGGAATAGGATCAGTAGCACAAAAAGGTAATTACATTAGTGCCTTTAATGTAAAATCCGAGAATCCAAAGTCATGGATTGTAGATTCGGGAGCCTCCGATCATATGACAAGAGATATCTCAATGTTTCACAAGTACAATCCATGTCAAGAAAACGTTACAGTGACAATAGCTGATGGATCTCACTCTAGAGTAGCCGGAACAGGTTCTATTATTATTTCAAAGGACTTTAGTCTAAATTCTGTCCTCTATGTCCCGAATCTTGATTGTAATCTCTTGTCTATCAGCAAGCTAACTTGAGAACATAACTGTGTTGCTAAGTTTTCTTCAAATTTGTGTGAATTTCAGGATTTGACTTCGGGCAGGACGATTGGCAATGCTAAGGTGCAGTCCGGACTATTTCTTCTTAAAGCTGAGGGATCTCCTAGAGGACAAACTCATAGTGCAGTACGTGTTGAGTCAAATAAAAGCCTTTTTTCCTCCAATAAAGACAATACTATTATGTTGTGGCACTATAGATTAGGCCACCCTAATTTCTTGTATCTTCAAAAACTGTTTCCAGCATTTTTCAGAAATAAAAAGCCAAAAATGTTTGAGTGTGAAGTGTGCCAATTCTCCAAACATACTCGTATATCTTATCGCAATCTTCCATATAGAGCATCACAACCTTTTTTGATGATTCATAGTGATGTGTGGGGGCCATCTTGAATAAAAAATATCACTGGTATTAGGTGGTTTGTGTCATTTGTTGATGATCATACTAGAATCACATGGTTGTTTCTTATGAAGGAAAAATCTGAAGTCGGTCCAATCTTCAAAAAATTCAATACCATGATTCAAACCCAATTCCAGACAAAAATACAAGTATTAAAAACAGATAATGCAAAAGAATACTTTGAAATGAATCTGGGTAATTACCTTGATAGTCAGGGAATTGTTCACCAAAGTTCTTGTGTTGACACACCCTAACAAAATGGGATTGCCGAAAGAAAAAATAGGCACCTTCTGGAAGTTGCTCGATCTCTTATGTTTACCACACACTTTCCAAAATTTTTTTGGGGTGAAGCAGTGCTGACAGCTGCTTACCTAATAAACAGAATGCCCTCTCGAGTCTTGAATTTCCAAACACCGCACTAGGCACTTCTCCATTCCTTTCCAAATACACGTCTCTTATCCAACCTTCCCATGAAAATCTTTGGTTGCTCCACTTTTGTCCATATATATGCCCAACACAGAAGTAAACTTGATCCAAAGTCACTCAAATGCATCTTTGTTGGGTACTCTTCCAATCAAAGGGGGTATAAATGCTATTCACCTGTCACAAGGAAGTTCTATAACACCATGGATGTTACATTCTTTGAGCAACAACCCTTTTACAAAATTGGTATTCAGGGGGAGAACTATACTCAAGAATACCAATCTTGGGATATTAATACCTTGGAATCATCTCCAGCCCTCAATTCCGATACCCTGGAATCAGCTCCAGTTCTCAATTCCGATATCTCAGAATCTTCAATTCTTCAATCCAGTCAACTCCAACCCGAGCTCGGGTTATCCCAAGCAGTCCAAATAGAGTCACCTCAACAAAGTTAGGACCTTACTTCAGCCACTCAATTTGAATCTCATTCCCAGGCAAAATTCCAAATACTTCCTGCAACAAAAGAGTTCTGTGTTTACACTAGGAGACCCAAAGCTCAAGAAGGAAGAGAAAGGCAGACACCTTATCAGAACCATGAATTCAATCTGAATCTTGAATCTCAGAATTCACCAGGTAACACTAGTTCTGAACTCACACCTGTCAATCCTCCTATTAATGATAGACCTATTGCCTGGAGAAAAGGAAAAAGGTCATGCACTGATCATCCAATTTACAATTTTGTGTCATATAAAGGATTGTCACCTAGTCACTGTGTCTATGTTAGCAATCTTGACAAAATACAGATTCCGAGAAAGTACCAGAGTAGAAGGGAGCTATTTTGGAAGAAATTCAGGCACTTGAAAAGAATGGAACTTGGGAAATATTGGAGTTACCAGCAGACAAACGCCCGGTTGGTTGTAAATGGATCTTCACAGTCAAACACAATGCTGATGGCAGTATAAACAGATTTAAGGCTCGACTTGTTGCTAAGGGGTTTACTCAATCTTACGGCATTGATTACCAGGAGACCTTTGCCCCTGTTGCAAAACTTATGCTATGTTTGGTAGGAAGGAAAGAAAATAGGATAGAAAGGAAATATGGAAGTGATGGAAAATAGCAATGATGGAAAGGAAATTGATTTTCTTTTATGTTGTTTGGTATGAGAAGATAGAAAGAAAATGAGCTTACCTTCACTTGTTTGGTATTGTTTGGTATTGTAAGTTATATTGGGAAGAAAGAAAAAATCTTACTCGTAAATTACTTTTATGCCTTTAAATTTTTTGCTTGGATGTTGATGGAGAAAAGGGTAGTTTAGTAACTTTGCTCACTTTAATGAGTTGTCCCCATTTTTCATTTCATTTTCTGCCCACTTGTGGAAAGAAAAAAAATGGTGGGGCCCACATGTATTATTTTTCACTACATTTTCTCTTCTTTTCTCTTTTCTCTCCTACCAAACAACTACATTTTCATTTTCCCTCCCAAAATTCCTCCACCTTCTTCCTTCCTTCTACTTTTCTTTCCTACCAAACATACTCTTAATACAGTTCGGGTGTTACTTTCTCTTTGTTAGAAAATTAGGGAAAATATGTGCTGTAAATACATACTAGCTGTAAATTAGTCTCTAGCTGTAATTTAGCTATTTTAGGTATAAATCTGTGTATTTTAGGAAAGCTCTAACTAGGAATTATTCTTTCCTTTAATCAGTGATTTAGTTTCCTGATCTAATGGTTTCTTAGGTGCTGTAATTCTCTATAAAAGAACAATCTCAAATGACAGAAAAGATAATTTCGTGCAACCTGTTTTTCAACTTGGTATCAGAGCAGGGAAAGAATCTCTTGCCGGAATTCCTATTTTCTTCCTTTCCTCTTGATCCTTGCACCCTAAAACCATGTCTGACGCTTCGACCGATTCTACTACTGTCCCTCAATCCTCCCTGAACAATCCTAGCAGCACAGATGTTTCAAAAATCAGTGCTACCTCCTCAGAATCTCATTCTGTTCATATCACCACAATTCGTTTGAATGGTGACAATTTTCTGAGATGGTCTCAGTCGGTTAGGATGTACATTAGAGGGCGTGGGAAAATGGGCTATTTGACTGGTGAAAAGAAGGCTCCTGCAGAGGATGATCCGGCCTATGCTACATGGGATGCCGAGAATTCCATGGTGATGACGTGGCTCGTGAATTCAATGGAAGAAGATATTGGCTCTAATTATATGTGCTATCCAACGGCACGAGAGCTTTGGGAGAATGTAAATCAAATGTATTCCGATCTTGGAAATCAATCACAGATTTTTGAGTTGACCCTCAAAATCGAAGGGATGCGACAAGGGGAGGACAGTGTCACAAAATTTTTTCATTCCTTGAAGCGGTTTTGGCAAGACCTTGACCTCTTCAACACCTATGAGTGGAAATCTCCCGAGGATGCTCAACATCACAAGAAGACTGTAGAGGATAGCCGCATCTTCAAGT